GCGGGGGGGCAGTTTTCAGATGAGGGGGTTCTGTCCTGCAACATTCTGTCGTGGCTCCAAGTCAACCAGCAATACGGCCAGGAAAATGGCACGCTCAGAAGTCAGCAGCCTCCATTAAAGAGAACCTGTGGTCATTAGATATAAGGGTCTGACATCCTCATCCTTCCATCACAATCTGTATTCTCCTCCGTCATTCTCTGACCCTCAGGATGGGTATGACCCCCCCCTCTGAGTCTTCACCTAGGTCAGTGATGGTGAACCTCGGCACTCCGGCTGTTTTGCAACTACAAGTCCCATGAGGCATTGCAAGGCTCTGACAGCCACTGACATAACTCCCCGAGGCAGATGCATGTTGGGATTTGTAGTTTTGGCACAGCTGGAGTGCCAAGGTTCGCCGCCACTGACCTAGGCTAAGGGGTCAGAAATCTTTTCCAAACGAAGAGTCCATTTCCCGTCATTGGACCGCCAGGGTGCCCGGACTAAGACACGTGTCCCCATGGGAAGATTTCCTCTCTGCTCCTGTTCTGGTGACAACTCGCAATGCCGGATCTCCTCTAACTTTCAGTCGTACTACACAGTGGTCACAAGAACAAGCAGAATCTCCCTGGTGGGGACAGGGATTGCAATGACACCCTGACGGGTTCCCCAATCCATACAACCCCCCCTCCCCCATGGAAATGTTATTGATGCTGAGACCTCCTATATATGTTCTCTCATAGGGCAGCCGCATTAGTTTTCTTTTTCCAGGCTGAGAACGTTCCCCAATCCATCCATCCAAACTCCCCTCCCCCCCTCCCATGGAAATGTTATTGATGCTGAGACCTCCTATATATGTTCTCAGCCTGGAAAAAGAAAGCTAATGCGGCTGCCCTAGGGAAGGCTGCGGTATGTGACATTTGTGGGATGAGATGTGTTCAGTGATTGGTGACGTGTGACTTATCCTCTCCCTGACTTCCATCTTTTCTTTTCCCTCCTCAGATTGCCCCCGAGAATCATGCCCGCGGTGTATGGCCGGCACCCAGAGAGTGGTGAGCCGAGAAGTTCCTCCTGGTAACCCCCGGAGTGTATGGGGAAGATTCCGGTCCTGGGAGCCTGTGCATGGGGCGGCGTTGCCAAGCCTCGACCTCAGCAGCTGTTGATGTGGGCAGGATGAGCGCTGCGGCATGATGATGGCACGGAAACAAGATGTGCGCGTGCCCACCTACAGCATCAGCGTGGTGGGCCTCTCCGGCACCGAGAAGGAGAAGGGCCAGTGCGGCATCGGCAAGTCCTGCTTCTGCAACCGCTTCGTGCGCCCCAGCGCCGACGACTTCCACCTGGACCACACCTCCGTCCTGAGCACCAGCGACTTCGGAGGCCGCGTGGTGAACAATGACCACTTCCTGTACTGGGGGGAAGTCACCCGTCAGCTGGAGGACTGCGTGGAGTGCAAGCTGCACGTGGTGGAGCAGACGGAGTTCATCGACGACCAGACGTTCCAACCTCACCGCAGCACGGCCCTGCAGCCTTACATCAAGCGGGCCGCCTCCACCAAGCTGGCCTCCGCCGAGAAGCTGATGTACTTCTGCACGGACCAGCTGGGCCTGGAGCAGGACTTTGAGCAGAAACAGATGCCCGAGGGCAAGCTGCAGCTGGACGGCTTCCTCCTGTGCGTCGACGTCAGCCGCGGCATGAACAGGAACTTCGACGACCAGCTGAAGTTCGTCTCCAACCTGTACACCCAGCTGGCCAAGACCAAGAAGCCCATTCTGCTGGTGCTGACGAAGTGCGACGAAGGCGTGGAGCGCTACATCCGGGACGCGCACACCTTCGCCCTCAACAAAAAGAACTTGCAGGTGGTGGAGACGTCGGCCCGATCCAATGTCAACGTGGAGTTGGCCTACACCGCCCTGATCCAGCTGGTGGACAAGAGCCGCGGGAAGTCCAAGATCATTCCCTACTTCGAGGCTTTGAAGCATCAGAGCCAACAGATCGCGGCGGCGAAGGACAAATACGAGTGGCTCGTGGGCCGCGTGGTGAAATCCCACAACGAGACTTGGCTCAACGCCAGTCGCCGCATGCAGAGCAGCAGCGAGTATCAGGACTACGTGTACCTGGAAGGGACGGACAAAGCCAAGAAGCTCTTCCTGCAGCACATCCAACGGCTGCGACAAGACCACATCGAACGCCGCCGCAAGGTCTACCTGTCTCTCCTCCCGCGTGCTTTAGACGCCCTTGTGCCTGACCTGGACGAGATCGACTACCTTAGCTGGCCCAAAGTAGCCAGCCTGCTGGAGGCTAAGCCTGCCTTCTCCCAGTGGTTTGTGGTCCTCGAGGACACCCCTTGGGATCTCACCAACCACATAGATAACATGGAGGACGACCGCGTACCGTATGATATGTTGGAGACCCTGCACGCGGCCGAAGTGTATTACGCGCACCTGGAGAAGCTGAGGAACGCTCGAAAGAAGGAGGAAATGAAAAAGGCCTTCAAAGAAAACTTGAGTTTTTCTCCGTTCATCACCCCGGGGAAGCCGTGGGAGGAGGCCCGGAGCTTCATCATGAGCGAGGAGTTCTATCATTGGCTGGAGGAGCCTGTGTACATGGACATTTACAGTAGGCACCAGAAAGAGATCATCGACAAAGCCAAGGAAGACTTCCAGGAACTATTGCTGGAGTATTCCGAGCTGTTTTACGAGTTGGGTTTAGACGCCAAGCCGAGCAAAGAGAAAATGGGGGTGATCCAGGACGTGCTGGGGGAGGAGCAGAGGTTCAAAGCCCTGCAAAAGCTGCAAGCAGAAAGAGACGCCCTCATACTCAAACACATCCACTTCGTCTATCACCCCACTAAGGACACTTGCCCCAGCAACCCCGCCTGCGTAGACACTAAAATCGAACAGCTCCTCAGTTCCAGGTGCACTCACCCCTACGACCGCCTTCATAAAGACCCCAACGTGGATCGACTTAACTTGGTCATACTCGGTAGGGACGGCCTGGGGCGGGAGCTGGCCAACGAGATCCGCGCCCTGTGCACAAACGACGACAAGTACGTCGTGGATGGAAAGATGTACGAGTTGTACCTGCGTCCCATCGAAGGCAACGTGCGGCTGCCTGTCAACTCGTTGCAGACCGCCACGTTCGTGCCCCACGGGTGCCTCTGCCTTTACAACTCCAAAGAGTCCCTCACCTACGTGGTGGAGAGTATTGAGAAGAGCCGGGAGTCCAGCTTAGGGAGAAAAGAGAACCACCTACCTAACTTGTATCTCACGCTAATCCTAGTCAATCGGAGGGGGGACATGAGCGGGGAGACCGCGCAGAGCCTCATCAACCAGGGCAAAGAAGTCGCCACCAGGCTGCAGTGCGAACTCTTGGATGCGGCCTCCACCGGGTTGGGCTACGGCCGCAACATCAACGAGAAGCAGATCACCAAGATCCTCCGCGACCTCCTCGATTCCAAGCGCAATCTGAACCTGGTCACCACCACGCCGAGCATCAAGGACCTGGCGGATTGCGACCTGCGCATCGTCGTCTGCCTCATGTGTGGAGACCTCTTTAACATGGAGGATGTGCTGAACGCCCTCAAGCCCCATACGTATCGCCCTTCGCAGTTCGGCGTCGGGCTCTCGGTGTTACTCGACCTGCACATAGGTAGTCAGAAGCGCCGCCTGGAGCTCCTCATTTTGTCCTATCACGCCTCCTTCAACATCCGCAAGACGCGACTGGTACACGGCTACATGGTTTTCTATGCGGCCAAGCGCCGCGCCTCCCTGGCCATGCTGCGTGCCTTTCTGTGCGAGGTGCAGGACATTGTCCCCGTTCAGCTGGTCGCCCTGACCGAGGGCTCGCTTACCGTTCTGGACAATGCCACCAGGGACCAGCTGGTGGAAGGAGAGGAGATCGCACAGGACATCGAGGGCAAGTTCCTGATGTTACCATGCGGCCCGGGCCAAGCCAAGATGGACATGTTCTTCCCTTTCTTCAAGGACGTGATGGAGAAGAAAGTGATCATCGAAGCCTCGCACATGTATGACAACACGGCGGAGGCGTGTAGCACTACAGAAGAGGTATTTAGCTCCCCCCGTGCCGGGTCTCCTCTCTGCAATTCCCACTTGCCTGATTCTGAGGACGACTTGGACCCGTCCCCTCAGCACATTCTACCCAGGGAGGACCCGAGCATGGCCGCACACACTAGAGACAATTCTAAAGCGGCCAGGGAGCTGGAGGACGGCAACAGCCTCCCCTTCATCTCTGTCATGAGCACCTTAGAAAGCAGACTCAACAACAAGGTACCTCCGCCCCTCAAACCAAAGCCCCATATCCCCTTCGACGCCTCCAAACCCGATCTGCCCTACCTAGATCCGGGCTCCCGAGACGGCCACAGGAGGTCCCTGACGCACATCACCTGGCCCCCGTCCGAAGCCTTCGATCCTTCCGACTACGCCGAGCCCATGGATTCCGTGGTGAAGCCCAGGAACCAGGAGGAGAACATCTACTCTGTGCCCCACGACAGCACGCAGGGTAAAATCATCACCATCCGTAACACCAACAAGCCGCAGTCCAACGGGAGCGGCAACGGTTCCGACAGCGACATGGACACCAACTCCCTGGAGAGAGCGCGCAAAGCATCCATAGTGACCAAACCGGTCCTGTACCGGACCAAGTGTGCCAAACTCGGCAAGTTCTCCAGCTATCGCAGCAGCCTGAGCGTGGGCAGCGACGACGAGCTGGGGCCAATGAGGAGGAAGGAGGACGAGATCGGAACCCAGGGGCCAAAGGGGGACAACACTACTAATTCCTATGAGGCTGACGGCGAGGATCCGCGCAAGAGGAACATTCTGCGCAGCCTTCGGAGAAACACTAAGGTATAGTAAAGGTTCCTGGATTTTATTTGGGGTGGGGGGGGATTCTATGTATTTAGGAAGGAAAGATTTTAAAATGTGTTTTACTTTATACTAGGGCTGCTACTGATTAAAATCTTTGTGTTCGATTAATGGAAATTTTTTTTAATCGATTTAATTTCGATAAATTATATCGCACATGCAGATCCAACTACATTGGCCTATACACATACAGCACAGCGATGAAGTATACACATACAGCACAGCGATGAAGTATACACATACAGCACAGGGATGAAGTATACACATACAGCACAGGGATGAAGTATACACATACAGCACAGCGATGAAGTATACACATACAGCACAGGGATGAAGTATACACATACAGCACAGGGATGAAGTATACACATACAGCACAGGGATGAAGTATACACATACAGCACAGGGATGAAGTATACACATACAGCACAGGGATGAAGTATACACATACAGCACAGGGATGAAGTATACACATACAGCACAGGGATGAAGTATACACATACAGCACAGGGATGAAGTATACACATACAGCACAGGGATGAAGTATACACATACAGCACAGGGATGAAGTATACACATACAGCACAGGGATGAAGTATACACATACAGCACAGGGATGAAGTATACACATACAGCACAGGGATGAAGTATACACATACAGCACAGGGATGAAGTATACACATACAGCACAGGGATGAAGTATACACATACAGCACAGGGATGAAGTATACACATACAGCACAGGGATGAAGTATACACATACAGCACAGGGATGAAGTATACACATACAGCACAGGGATGAAGTATACACATACAGCACAGGGATGAAGTATACACATACAGCACAGGGATGAAGTATACACATACAGCACAGGGATGAAGTATACACATACAGCACAGGGATGAAGTATACACATACAGCACAGCGATGACGTATACACATACAGCACAGGGATGAAGTATACACATACAGCACAGGGATGAAGTATACACATACAGCACAGGGATGAAGTATACACATACAGCACAGGGATGAAGTATACACATACAGCACAGGGATGAAGTATACACATACAGCACAGCGATGAAGTATGACAATGAACTAGGATTACACTAAGGCCCGGTTCACACCTGGGCGTTTTGTAGCACGTTCCTACGCTCTGCAAAACGCTCAAACACCGAAATCCTGTTATTTGCTATGGGTATGGTTCACACCTGGGCGTATTACAGGCCGTATGAACGCGCTACAAAACGTCCTACGCCCAAAGAAGTACAGGAGCTTCTTTGGGGCGTTTTTGTCGCGCGTATCCATTGGGATACAGCCAAGTAGACCTTGGAAACGCGTGTTTGTCACAGCGAAACGCGCATATTCGATACGCCTGGGTGTGAACCCAGCCTAATCCAGCACGTTATTAATCTCACGTGCCCCACTCCATATGGCCGCCGCTTGAGTGGGGCAACCCAGAATAATAACGTGCTGGATGAGTGTGATCCGAGTTCATTTACTGACTCCTCCCCCCTTCCCTTCGTTAGCCGACGGAGCCACTTGGGGAAGGGGGGAGGAGTCCGGTGACGTCGATGTCCGTGACGTCACCGGGACTCCCGTAAGACCCGGTAGCCGGCGGAGAGGTGAGAGTTTTCATTTTTGATCAAAAGAATTTTAATCGATTAAAAATTTTAACGATTAATCGAGAAATTAATCGTTAATTTCCGCAGCCCTACTTTCTACCATGCCGGAGGTGCCCGCCGATGGTGGTTATACTTGAGTGGCGGCCCTCGGACAGAGAAAGCTCCAACCATTACACAAACCCTCTGCCGAACACGTCATCCAGATCCTGATATTCGCCATCTTTTAGGGGTGTAGGCGTCAGATGTACTGCATCCCAATCTTACCTCTGCCCTCTGTTCAGCCATTGCCCCCCCCTGCTGCTGGCCCTGGTCTATCTGAATCTAGGCACGGCTTCCCCCCCCCACAGTGATGCATGGGCATAGTGTACATCGGGGGTATAACATAGCATGCGGAGTCCATAGGCATGCACTGTGTCTGCTCTGTGCAGGGGTGTGGAATTCCTATCGCCCGACGCCCCCGGGAGGGGCAGTTTCGGGCGCCGGGCGAGTCGTTTTTATGTACATTTAGCCCGGCCCCGGACAAGCAGAGCCGAATGTACATTGTGGAGCCGCCGCCGCCGCTCGTTTACTACAAGTGGTCTGATCAGACCACTTGTATTAATTTGAGCAGCGCCGATCGTTTTTGCCCGTAACCCCCTGCCGCCGTAGTTTTCGGGGTCACCCGCTCTCCTGGGGGACCCCGAAAGCTAAGGCACAACGGCTCAGCCATAGGCGAGGAATGAAGAAGGTCTGCTCTACGGGCTCTCTGTGTGTTCTCTGAGACCGCTGTAATCACAGCGCCACCTGTCTCGGCTGTCAGGAACTGCACAGAACAGCTGCTCCATAAAGAGAACCTGTCACCTCCAAGCTATCACATAAGGGATTTTAATCTCCTTTGTGATGGGAAGTCGTGACCCTGAGAACTATGGGGGGAAAGCCCTGACCCCATAGTTCTCCTTTAAGTGGAAAAAGTAAATAAATAAAAATTTTAAGAAAATTAAAAAAAATAAAATGTATAAAGATTTAAAAAATGAAAAAATAAAAATGAAACCCTGCTGCCCCCGCCATCTGCATGCAAATAAACGCATGCGTAGGACATTCTGCATGTGCTTTGAGATTGCAGCCGCCATTCCATGGTGGTAGCCAGAATTCTCTT